ATATAAATTTATATATTATATTAAATATTATTCTTATTACACATTTATAAATTTAATATTATAAATTTATATATTATATTAAAATTTTTAATTTGTTATAATGTATATTATAAGAATCTCATTTATTATAATTATAATTAAATATAAAAATTAATTATAATTAAATTATTATATATTCATAAATATAATATAATTAAACTATATATTATGGGTGTCAATAATATAATTAAACTATATGTTTTATAAATTATAATTATATTATAATATATTCATCATTTCAATTTAATTTAATTATATTGAGATAAAATCTATTAAAATTATATAGTTTAAATTCTTAAAATTATATGATTTGATGTTAGATTCCCGTAATCATTCTATTAATGTTAATAATTTTTAATAATATTATTATTTATTACATCATCTGGTTCGATCCAAGTTCGACCAGTCGAACCTTGAACCTCTACTTCATCTGGTTCGTTGTCTGATCTGATTTTCACAACCTTGCCTTAGCTACTCCACCAGACTCTTTCCTTTAACTGAAACATTTAAAAGCAACAGAGTTAGCTCTACTAGCTCAGTAGACTCCCTCTTTCACCGCTTACAAATATCAATATCTAATGCAAATATTTAAAAATAATTAATTAAATAAAAATATAAAGACTTGTAAAATAATTAAAGCATAATCAAAACCTAAACTTACCAGAGTTCCAATATATACTTGACTTAGAGTTAGCACTTATAATTTCATAACCACATAACCACTTTCACAAAAGTCTCCAGAAGCAGTAGAGAAAGAAGATAGAGAGAAGATAGATAAATTTGCTCGAGTTATTTTCTTTCATTGAATCTATTATAAGATTTCTTTTGATTGTAGTAGGTAACACAATTCCTACCTTTGTTTTCAATGATTTTGCTTGACCAAATTTTATCTCTACTAAATTGATAAATTGACTTTTTTAAAATTTTTTAAAAGAACTTTCATCTCATCACTTTTGGATATATAGTATTGATACGTTATCACAAAATTATCTTGTTTGGGCACGAATCTCGAGGCAAAATCAATTCGGAAACTTCAAAAATTAAATTCGAGAGCATATGAACTCTAATTTTAGCGAGCTTACAGTCAAACTGAGCATCTCGGAAATACGAATCCAACGACACCAAATTTGACCCAATCCGAGTCCAAATGGGTCCGAATCAAGGACCTTAAGCGCTGTTGGACGGTTCAAACCGCAATTTGAGTTACCAAACGGTCTCCGATTTTAACGAGCTTATACTCGAATCGAGCGGCTCGACGAGACGAATCCAACGAGCCTAAGATCACCGAATTAAGACATCATTAAGGCCTTCAAACGTCCAACAAACAGTGCATGATCAAAGGATTCGATATCGGCCGTCGATTCAAACCACTCCCAATTCGCCCATGATCTCCCGCCTATTTACGGGCTATGCCACTCCAGAAAAATTATAAATAGAGCCCTCATTCTACACAAAGGGCACTCAAGTGAAGAGACAGAAGAAGAAGAGAAGAAGGAGGAGAAGGAAGAAGCTCCTCCTCGACCATCGCCGGAGCTCTTCCTGCCGCCTGAAGACGCCGGAACTCTGCCAGATTTTCGGGAAAAGCCGGAAATTTGTAGAGCTTTGTAACTTTGTGATAAGTTGATTGTAAACTGATCGTCTTGATTTGTAAGACAAATCAACCTTTGTACTTCATACAAACACTAGTAGAAATTTACAACTGGGCGAGGCCCCGTGGTTTTTTCCCTTTTTGGGTTTTCCACGTAAAAACTCTGGTGTTCATTTCTCTTTTCTGTTTGTGTGCTGAATACTCGTGCAACGCTAAGACAAATATTTTCTAACTCTACTGCCGCGTATATTCTAGCACGCAACAAGTATATATGATTATTTTGATCATTTTTACTAAACATTTCACAATTTCATAGGGTGGATTTATTATTATGAATTTCTAAAAAAATTGAGTATTTTTATAGAATTTTATAAATTGACACGTACTTCATAGTAGTCATTGTACATTTCATAATGATTGGTGAATAACATACATATTGTGATATAATGAATACAAGATAAATGTGACATTTGCATATGAGTAAGAAAATTTGGCTAAAAAATATTATAATTGGTGTGGTTTGACTATTGAAATATAATATCATATACATGAGGGGTGGGTTGATGGATTTTTCTTAAAATAAATGTTTGTGGTGTAATCTTTATTATAGCCTATAATTGATTGACTAAATCACAACGACGGCTAGAGAGTGACGTCTCTTAATGATTTACTGAAAGCCGGCCACCTGTAAATTGATTTAAAATTTATGAATGATGATATATGATAAGATAAAGATTAATGACCAACATGTGGACAATTAAATTAAAGATGTTGAAAACAACACATAAAAGCTTGAGGTCCTACATTGCAAAACTATATTATACTTATGCATGCATTAATAGCATATGAATACAAATAGAATAATCAATTAGTTTCATAGCATACTGATATATGTACATATGTACATATAGAGATTATATATATATGACACATGTATATTCATGGATATGACACATGTATATTCATGATTCATATAACTAATATAATGATAATATAGAATACTAAAAATAGTACCGATCAATGAATGTATTTCTATTATAAATTTATAGATTTTTTATAGATTTCAACGATAAATGTTTTATGGGTCTTCATCATTTAATAATAATTTTGATCATGTGATCATTGATTGACTACTATATTCATATGTATTTTGTATAGATATATTGATTGATTGATACATAACATATTTATTATATTGTCTTGTATTGATTGTTTTAGTAGGTCGAAGTGAGATGTTAGGCTTTGTAAACTCATTGTTATGGTTTGATTAATTTCCGTTTTAGAAAGGGGACCAGTATAGTGAGATTGATCAAAGCATAATTACATATTTGGTTACCTTTTAAGCATTTTATTTTATTATTTTGTAACTTGAGTGTTTAGTGATAGCTTGATACTTTATATTAAACTTCTAATTATTGTATAAAATTTTGAAGTAATGTATATTAATAGATGATATGATATACAAATGATTTTACTATTTTAATTATAATAAAATCAAATTAGTGGCTCTGGTGGATTAATTAGAAAATAAAAATATATAATTATTCTAATTTAGATTATGAAAACTCTCTTCAAATTACGTTGACTCCAAACACTCTTTTAACTTCTAGAAACTCTCTTCACATTTTGAAGTCCAGTCAAACAACAAGGTCTTCTGAGTTAATCTCATTAGACGGATAGAGACATGTGAAAATCCTCTAATAAATTTCATGTAATAATCTTCAATGCCCAAAAAGCTTTGAACATCAGTCACAGATCGATGTCAGCCTCAGCCAATCCACTATGACTTACACCTTATAGGTCCATAATAATGCCTTCCTTACTCACCATGTGCCCCAAAAATGTCACACATGCAGGTTCAGCGACGGGTAGAGGGCAATCGATGACTAATTCCACCGACAGGTAGTTGGTAATGAGTCTTAATGATTTATTAAAAGTCATATGAAATGAAAAAAAGATAAAATGTTGTAATGATATTGATAATGATGATTGCATATGAAAGAATGAAAGCATCATATTAAAACTGGATGTCATGCTTTGTTGAATTATATATTGATGCATACATTGATAACATTGATATAATTGATAGATAGATTAGTAGTGTATGTATATATGGCATATGAACATTTTAAGGTATTGAATTAATATAATAGATAATTAACAAGATAGGCAAGACTTTAAACATTGACACATGTATGTTTATGATTTACAGTGCTAAATTGATTTATTGATTACAAATGTATTTATGTTCTAGCTTGCAGCTGTCGTTGATTTATGGAATTCAACGAGATGATTCTCACTTTTCATTATTAATCATATTATTGAACCATACCACTCATAAATGAGCATTGATGATATTGAACATTATTGATTCTATTGATTGAGATGAGCATGCATATTGGTTTCTTAAATATTGTATTAAAAGCTTTAGTAAGTTTTAGATTTTTAATAGGATTTGTAAGTTCATTATGTGATTTTATTGATTTCAGGTCAAAGGATCGGCCAAAACTTTGTATAGTGAGGTGGATTGAGATCTTTAGGTTACTTTTTTTTTTATTCTTTTGTCATCACAAGCTATTGAAATACTTATTGATTGTTCATGATCTCCTAACTATTTTAAATGTGATTTTTGGTGAATGAATATAGTAAAGTATTTCATTGTATGTGATATTTAATTTATTTTGTTGGATATATTAATTTATATTGATGATTCTTAGAAGCTCTCATAGATGATTAAAAAGATAAAAAAAAAAATAAAAGTTTCAAATTTGATTATATGGCATGACGTATGTTGATCATGTCAGAAGGTATGTAGTTGATGTTGTTATCTCCTCAAGTTAGAAATTCCTTTTTGAATTGTTAACTTGCCTCAAGTTGAAGTTCCTTTGTGAGTATATTAGCAAATTGATATTGAGATGAAATGTGGTGGACAACAACTACTTTTATGAAAAATGCATTCCCTTATAAAATGATGATCAATCTTATTTTGTTTAGTGGGACAAGTGTTAGAGCTAAAAAGCTGCCATGGTGTAATGAAGTTGGCTCATCCATAGGAATGCAAAACTCCAAATCTCAAAACATAATGATTAACAAAGGGGGAAAAGTCTCACAAACTATAGCACCTAAGTTCTGATCAGTGAGAGATCAAGAAAGATGCGCACGTTAGAACTAAATAAACAGAAGAAGAAGAAGAAGAAGAAGTTGTAGCTGAAAAAAGAGAGGAGCTGCTACTGAAAGGAAGCCTTTTATTCATCATCTCGAAATTATATACATTATAATGATATATCAATGCATTATCTTTATACATTATATACGTCTACTATTATTCCCTCAGCTTGTCGGAGATGCAGAGGTAGCTTTAGCATTATGTATGCTGCATAGACATGGTCCCAACAACAAGAATTAAGAAAAATAATAATACCATGATCGGAAAAAAAAAAACTTTTTCATATTTGGAGTAGTTGTGATTGAAAATAATATTTTCCCAATAGTGTATTAAAATATGAGAAATTAATCTTACTAAAGCTACCCAACTCTCCTTGGTCTATTGGTTGAATTTTTTGGCTACCAACTACGATGTCTTCAGTTCGAGTCAAGCATATGTATTGTGTGTGTGAGTTTTGATATACTAGCAAATGCATATGATACATCTCAAGTAATTTCATTTGATCGACACGTACATTGATGTACTATTTATATTGAAAACCTTTGGAATTAATGTAACTCTAATTTCATCAAACTTATAATCAAACAGAGCGTTTTAATATGACAAACTCAATGACTTTAAAAGTTATTTGATCGGAGTCCAAATGAGCTCAAATTAAACAATTAAATTAAAGTTGAAAACTTCAAAGCATTGATTGAGGGATCAAATGATCTTCAAATTATGTATGCTTATAATCAAATCAAACGACTCTATATGATGAATCCAACAAGCCTTAGATTTGGCGGTACTTAGAACCACATGCAAAACTATATGGAAAACAAATTATGCAGATCACTAGATTATGTGGTCATTAACATACTTTAATGTTAAATGAATGATTTATGATCTAAGAATTCAATAGTAGCAATCCCCTAGAATGTTATGAAAATTAGTTTGAATTTACTAAAATGCCACTCTCAAAATACAATAAATATGCCTACATACTCTACATGAAAGAGATTTAAGACTTAAATTTGGAGAGAGAGCTTCTAGAACTAAAAAACTCCTTAGCTCTACTTGTTGTTCGACGACTGAAACTAGAAATCTAAAGAAAAAAATATTCGAACATTTAATGATTTAAGTTTCAAATGTTTGAATTAAAAAAAAAAAAATCAGGTAACATATATGCTAACATTCAAATACAAAATCTTTCCAACAAAAATCCTCTTCGCAACCCATACATTTATGACCGAAATAAATCAAAGACATAAATGTGAATCATTAGTCGCCAAACCAATTCAAAATCCCAAATCAAACGGTACTCCCGTCGGCGGTATCCACTTCCCTCCGCCGATGAAATTTCCCACCGTGAACTCACTCACCTGCGACGCGCTCCGGAACTCATGAAGCCCCTTCCAGTTCACTCTCTTCAGCAGCGTCGACCCCGGCCCCGTGTTCTTGTACTCCGCATAGTACAGCGTGTCCAGCGCAAACCGGCCGTTGAACTCCATCCACCCTGCTGGATCAATCACGCTCCCCATGTAGTTCTGCAGGTACAAAGTCCTCGAGTGGAGCTGCCATGGCCTGCCGAGATATGAATGCACTCTCCGACCCGCAGTCCGAAGGTCCGGCCCGGCCCGAATCCTGCTCGCTTGAATCACGATGCCGGTGTTCTGGAGCGGGTCGCTTCGGCCCTGCGCCGTTATGACGTTGGACTCGCCGGAAAGAGGCTTTCGGAGGATGATGCTGGATCTTTGGATGACGACGGCCGCGTTGCCGAAGATGAAGTCGATGGTGCCGTAGATGTCGCATTCGCGGTAGAATTGGCGCTGCGTGTAGACGCTGAGTGTGTCTTGGTAGCCCTCCATGCTGCATCTGTAGAATACGGACCGGTCCGACCCGGACAATAGCGCCACCGCCTGAGAGCCCGGGCCAAACGTGTTACGGAACGTAAGCCGGCGTGCTATGAAACCGTCGCCGAAGACGCCTGTAATGAAATCAATCAAGGCTTCGTAAATTAGTAGACCCGAGATTGAAAAATATGCAAGGAACTTCTAACCCCGTAGCTGTCAAAAAAATTTCTTGAACAGCCTGAGATCAATTTTTTCTGCAAGGGCATTTCCAACCAAAAAGCTCATTTTTCACTCAAAAATATAATTTTTCATCAAAATAGTAACTTTTCTTCAACCAAATTTCATTTTCTACAATTTTCTTTTCTAACAAAAAAAAAAAAAAAATCCTGGAGGAGCCAATACCACTCTTCAAGATTATTAGATTGTTATAACTAGTTATTTTATTTTTTTGTAATCTGAACTTGTTATGTATTTTAATTTTTGTTTTCTGTTTTGTAGAGATATTATATTACTCCATATCTTTTAAATATGTATGATAATTTTATCTTAATTTTTATATTAACATTGTTTCTTAAGTAAATTAATTACATAAAAAATTATTTTTATTTCTAAAAAATAAGATGTTTCTAAATTATTATTTCTTAATTATTAATAATAAAATTCTACACTTAAATATTTAAAACTAAAAACCAACTTTTCAAATTAAAAATAATAAATATGTTTAACGCGTGAACATTGCAACGCCAATATTGACATATTGGAGTGCATTATTCACCTGCAATCAAATAGCGTAAGTTTTGCAGTTCTATTGGAGCTCAATAGTGATGCGCGTCATTCATTTGTTTCAAGTTGGTCTGGAGAAGGCCTAAATGATCTATTTTGAACATTTTTCTTGAGCTTTTTTAAAGGAAAAAAAAAGTTTGTGTTATATTTTATAGCATTAAATAATAAACATATAAAAATAAAAAGATTATATAAACCGCAAAGATTAAATTCTTTAATACAATAGAGCAGAAATCATTAATTAATTTGCATGCGTTTAATTTCTAATAATAAAATTGCTTACTGAACGTTGCCGAGCTGAAAGTAGTGTAACCTCCGGCAACGCTACGGCTTCCGGTGATGACTGTTTTCCCGATGCCATCACCAATGAGGGTGAGATCGTACAAAGCACTCTTCACAGTGATGATCTCGTCGTACACACCAGCTTTAACGTATATCATGATTCGCCTTCTGAACCCTTTCAGCCGGCGGCGAGTGGCAGCATCGACGGCGGCTTTGATGCTGCCATATCCGCCCGATCCATCCCGCGCCACCACCATATCCGCCCGCTTGGGTACTGTGAGCTGCTCAAGAAAATTCTTCTTAATGGATACCCTAAAGGCATTGTAGGAGGAATTATTTACGGCGAGGCAGTTGCTGATGAGCTCGGAGACGTTGTAACGCAAGACGGGCTGGATGATCTTCGACGAGGCTTTGAGATCCGCAAATCCTCTGCGGCAGGTCTGGGTGTTGGTAAGCGCGGCACTGAGCCAGGTTTGTCCGTCGACGGCGCTGACGGATCCGCGGAGGGTGCGGTTTAGCTGCACGACGGTGTTGCCGTATAGTTTCCAGCAGTCGAGCCATCCGGCGCGCTCGGGCGCGTCGCGGCATGACGGGCCCAGAAGCGCGAGGTGGCTCTGGGCGCGGGTGGCTCGGGCGAGGGTGGCTTGGAGTAGGAGGTCGTAGAACTCATGGTGGTCTTTTGGGGGGTGGGGGAGGTGGTAGTTGCAGGGGGCCGGAAAGGGGGTTTTGGCGCACCACCGGGCTATGTCGGCGTCGGCGAGAGTGAGGAGAGCGAGGACGGCGGAGAAGAGCAAAAAAAGGCGCATTTTTTGCGGTGGCGAGGAAGTGAGGAAATCGATGGAGTCTTCGGGGTTTTCGTAAGAGTTCGGAGAGTGGCAAAATTAAATAAAAGATCGATGCGTTAAGGGAAAGGAACATTCGTTTCCTTGCAAGTTATTCATCACGTTGGAGATCCCGATTCCCGGTCGATCCGCTTGGTGTCGCTGATATGATTAAAATGAATATTGTTGGGAATTGTTTGCTTTTTTGTTATGATTTTTTTTAATTTCTTAAATTGAAAGATTCATTAGATATTCGATGGATATTTGTGAAGAGTAAATAAGGGGGATTGTTTACCTCTGGGATTTGGCATTCATTGCTAATTATTGTGTGCTGAAGATAGTATATCTTGCGTGACAGATTGATAAAAGCCTCTGTAAAATATGGATTATAATTGTTTCCTAATTTACTTAAAGTCATTATTTATGACTTTCGATCATATGATTGTTTTACTTTTTTTTTTACAACAATAGCTAGATTATTTTATTTCTCCTTTTTAAACTTGTTGCCCAATGAAATATTCGCGGCAGTAGAGAGATATTGAGTTTAATGTTTTAATTTTGTACAGAGATCTAGCACACATACATATAAAATAAATTGGTGCAATATTTATAAAAGACATCAGAGTGTTTTACCTGGAAACCTCTGAAAAGGGGAAAATCATAGGACATTGCCGGGGGGACTATTGTCAATCAACGTCGGTGGTCAAAGGGACCGTATTTGAGCTATAATGGTCGAACTGGCATGTCGATGGCAGTCGGGCGGAGGTCTAGCTAATAGCGGCTTGTTGGGTGGTTGTCCGATGATGGTCAGGCAGAAGTCCAGCGGAGATCGACGGATGGGTGGTGGTCCAACGGCTGTCAGCAGACGGGCAGTGGTCCAATGATGGTCAACGGCGGGGCGATGATCTGGCGGTGGTCAATGGAAGTTCACTGACACTAGTGCTTGGGTAGAACTCTAGCATTCTTAAAGCATGAGAGCTCTCTCTAATCTCCAATCAAAGACCCTCTTGATGTGAAAAATGTTGGTCTATTTATAGATATTTGAGAGTGACATATCTCTTAAATATGAAGATCTGAGACAAATTTGGACGGTTTCATTGGACGACCAATATTTATCCCCTCAATTATAGAGCGTTCATCAAGCATTTAAGTATTGTAACTATGTCAAAGTTAAGTAATCATGGGCTCATTGGATTTGACTCATCTAGCCGCTTGCTTTGACTAATAGCATGATATACTTGGATATCATTTGGCCATCCAATTTATGCTTTGAACCATCAAAATGTGATTGTACCTTGATTTGGAATTAATTGGGCTCGGATCGGACTGGTTTTGGTATTGTTTGATTCATCTCGCTTAGTCCCTCAATTTGACGATAAGCTTGTTGAAATTGGAGTTCATATGATCCTGAATTTAATTTCGAAAGTTTTCGATTTTGATATGTCTTGAGATTCGTGCTTGATTAAGTCAATTTATGGTGATGTATCAAAACTTTAAATTTATGTCTATTTTATTTAAGAATTTAAAAATACCAAAGTCCAGTTCAATAATCTTTTTTTTTTTGTATGCACAAGAGATAATATAATGACAGATTATTGTAACTAGAAAGAAGTAGTTAAGGCTACGACGTTAGTATAATATATATATATTTATTTTTTTTTTAAAATAAAATTTAATACTTTTTTAGTATAAATTTTTAATTTAAAATTTACTTTATAAAATAATATTGTTGAGGGCTAGAATATACACGGTGATACAGTTAGAAAATTTTGATCTCAGCATTGTACGGATATCCAGCGCATACATAGAAGATGAAAGAATACCATAATTTTTACGTGGAAAACCCTGTAAAAGAAAAAACCACGGGGTCACACCCAGTTAAAATAATTCTACTAGTGTTTGCTTAGGTTAGAAGAGGCTGACTCGTCCCTAAAATTAAGGTCGATCAGATTACAGTAATCAAATCTCGGGTTGAAATTCAGTTACAAACGGATATCAGAATTCTAACGTTAGTTGAAGATCCAACAGAAAACTGGCGTCATTCGGCTGTCGGACAGAGCTCTGGTGTCACTTGGAGGTCGGGCGGAACTCCAGCATCACTTGGAGGTTGGGTAAAACTCCGGGGCCACTTGGAGTTCGGGTGGAACTCCGCGGTAGTCGAGGAGGAGTCTCTTCATTCTCTTATTCCTTCTCTTCTTGCTTCTTTGCTTAATTACGACGTCGATCAGGTGTTGGGTGAAAGTCCGACCGTGGTCGAGGTGTTTCTTTCTTTTCTTCATTCACTTCTCTTATTTTTTTGTCTTGTTTGGGGCCCCCATTTTCAAGAGAAATGAGGGGTTTATTTATATAGTTTTACGAGTGTGACATTACTATTAAATAGGAGGAAGATTAGAGGTGAATTAAGTGGTTTGAATGAATGAGCTAGTGATGTTGAATCTCTTGATTGTGGACCGTTTATCAGTCATTTGAAGGCTCTAAAGATATCATAATTCGAAGATCTTTGGCTCGTTGGATTCGTTTCGTCGAGCCACTCGATTCAACTATAAGCACGCCATATTTAGAAACTATTTGGTAATCCAAATTATGGATTGAGCCTTCCAAATTAATGTGCTTCGGGTCTTTGATTTGGACTAATTTGGGCTCAGATTGAGTCGACTTTGGTGTCGTTGAGTTCATATTTCCAAGACATTCAGTTCGACTGTAAGTTTGCTGAAGTCGGAGTTCATATGATCATGAATTTAATTTTTGAAGCTTCCAACTTGATTTTTGCCTCAAGATTCGTGCCCGGTCAAGATGATTTTTTGATGATATATCAAGTAAAAAAAATGTCTCAAAGAGAACCTAAATATGAAGCTTTTGAATGAAGAGGGTTTGAAACTTTTCTAAACATAATGTAGCAAAAAATCAGCTTAAGTAATTACAAGTTGATAAATGCCCGTTACGATTTATAAATGATTAGTACATAAATGCTTGATAAGCACGTTATAGAAAATAAATAATTTCAAACAAACAATGACTATATAAATACTACGTTCATGTTAGAGTTACATGAACAATTAGTTAATTACAAGCATTTACAGTGAATATAATTTAATTTTTTATATCTTTTAAAATTATAATTTCTGAAATAAAAATATGATATAGATTTGATTTGAACCAAAAAAAATTTACAATAAATTTTATGATTTTTTAAATAAGTTTATTCAAATAAAGAAAATTTTAAAAAGCTGTAAAAGGATCTGTCTTATTCAGATAAATTATTTCTTTATTAATTTTACATAAAATTTAAAGATCTAATAATGAAGGAGAGCTTTTTTAGGGTTCATGTTAGATGTTTTTAGGGAACTGTTTTTTTAGTATAAAATTTTTTAATTTAAGAAATTTTTTTACTAAAATGTTATTTTAGAAAGCAATAAAAAAATTGTCCAAAATGAAATCTTAGGCTTTGTTTGGAACAACTTTAGCCGTAGTTTTTTCCACTTTTAAGAGATTTTATATAAAAACTTGCTTTGCAAACAACTTTACAAACAGTAAAAAGTTATCACAAATCAAACCTTAGCCTTCATTTGGGACGGCTTTTTAATTGATTTATACAGCAGCCTTTTAATACAAAATATTTTAAACTAAAAGATTTTGTATTAAAAAGCTATTTTAGAAAGCAATAAGAAAGCAGCCCTGTTGTGTCCAGAAATATTCGCGACAGTAGAGAAGAATAAAGTTTAGCGTCTTAGCATTTACGAAGATCCAGCACGCAAGCAGAAAGAGAGAGATCAAGACACTCGATCTTTTTTTACGTGGAAAACCCGAAGAGGGAAAAACCACGGGGCCTCGCCCAGGTGAAAATATTTCACTAAACTTGAGTGAATTACAAGGGTTGACCCATCTCTCAATTTAGAGCTGGTCAGATTACAGTAATTTGAAGAGCTAGTCAAAGGACCGATGACGGTCACACGAAAATCCGACGGCTTTAGTGCAGAAGTTTGGCTGACAAGGAACGATCTGATGAAGGTCTGACGGTGAACGGCGGTCGGGCGGTGGTCTGGCGATGGCCAGGCTGAAGTCCAACGGCGGTCGGCGGCCGGGCGGTGGTTCGGCCCCCGAGCGATAGTCCGACGAAGGTCGGGCAGAAGTCCGGTGGCAGTCGGTCGGTGGTCTGGCGATGGTCGGTGGCCAGGCAGTCGTCCGACGAAGGTCGAGCTAAAGTACAACTACGGTCGGCGGCGGGCAGTGGTCCGACGGCGATCGGCAGCCGAGCAGTGGTCCGATGAAGGTCGGGCTGAAGTCTAGCAGTGGTAGGCGGCCAGGCTGAAGTTGGGCGGCAGTCGGCGACCGGGCGGTGGTCCGACGAAGGTCGCGTTGAAGTCCGGCGGCTATCGGCGGCCGGGAGGTGGTCCAGCGGTGGTCGGCAGCCGGGCAATGGTCCGATGTAGGTCGGGCTAAAGTATGACTGCAGTCGGCGGCCAGGCGGTGGTCCGACGAAGGCTGTCGCTTTAACCCTTCCAAATGTGGTCCGGACCCTCGATTCGGATCCATTTGGGCTTGGGTTGGACCAATTTTGGTGCTATTTGGTTCGTCGCTTTGAGATGTTCAATTTGACTCTAAGTTTGCTGAAATTGGAATTCAGATGATCCCAAATTTAATTTTGAAAGTTTTCAACTTGAATATGCCTCGAGATTCGTGCTTGATCAAGGCAATTTTTGATGACGTGTCAAGCCCCAAACGAAACCTAAGGCTCCCCTTCTTTTTAGATGCTTTTAAAAAAGTTTGTATTAAAAATAATGTAGAAAATATATAGAAAAAAAGTCCCAAATAAAGTTTTAGGCTTCATTTGTGATAATTTTTTTTACTGTTTTAAAAAAATAGTTAGAAAATTATATCAAATGAAATCCAAGTTGAGAGAGATTATTATGTCTGGAGTTCGGAATCAGAGAACCGTTTATGACAGTGAACATTAAAAACACAATAAAAAAGTGATGAACAATAACTATATTTTTAATATTCATAATCACACTTAAATGCCTTACCATACGATCTTCAGCACGTCATCTAATCACCGTAATTAAGACTGTAAGACATCACATTCTTCACTACGCAAAATAAATCATTTAGTTAAATACCATTATTTTTAGGAAGAACTACGCTGAATAAATGAGATATCCTGATTAAAATTTTAATTCGAGGACTATTTAATCTGAAATATTAAGAGTATGATGTTTTTTGAAGTAAATAAAATGTAAAATAAAAGTTTGGGTAACTTAAAATCATATAAATTGGATGATGGGTAGGCTTCGTTTGGGATAGCTTTTTCATTGTTTTGTAAAACAGTTTTTTAGTACAACAAAATTCCTAAATTAAAATTTTATTACTGAAAAGATGCTCTAAAAATTATCAAAAAAGTTTGAGACGACTTTTTTTTTTTATTACTGCTTAAAATAGCTTTCTAGAAAAAATTTAAAAGTTTTGTACTAAAAAGTTGCTTTAAGAATAAATAAAAAAGCCGTCCCAAAGCTTCGTTTAAGACTGCTTTTTTATTGCTTCTTAAAACAACTTATTAGTACAAAAGTTTAATTTTTTATATTACGAATCCACTTTAAGAATTAGTAAAAAAATCATCCCAAACGCAAGCCTAAATCTCAAGTTATAATTGCATACAATTCTCATCTGCCACTGCCATTACCTCCTATAGCCACCATTGTCGATCACCATCATTTGATGACCACTCATTATCATCAACACTCATTATTAAATATTGCATAAATATATTCCATAACTTTCAAAGTAATTAAATTTATAATGAGATTGATATTTAATATATGAATACTTTGATGCTAATTTTTATGCAAAACTCATCTTGATATTTTAAGTATTTTTTTTTCATTTAAGTTTCACCAAATAAGTCATATTTGATTAAATGACACGTATGCAGTTCACCTTAATATGTTGGTTAAGAGTTTTCACTATCAACCAAGATATCTTAATTTTGAGACTTATATAAATGTATATATCAATTTGTCTTAATTGACTAAAATATAAAATAAAAAAAAAACTAAATGACAAACATAATAGTTATTAATATGCATATATCTATTTAGATAAATCATAAATATCAAAACCATTCATTTATTAAAATAACAGCAAATTTTTAGCATAAAACTTAATAAATTTTTATATGCTATATTCATCTAAAAATAAATATAACGCTAGATATGATCGAAGCTTCGGTGATCAGAAAAACCTGACCCAAAAATTTTACAAATATTTCCCCGGCTTAAAGCCCGGAAGCAAATGGCACTCCCGTCGCCGGCAACCAAGTGCCGCCGTCGATGAAATTTCCGACCGTGAACTGCCTCACTTGAGACGGCTTGCGAATGATATGAAACCCCTTCCATTTCACACGCAGCCTTAAAACTCTGGCTCCGGGCCCAGTGTTCTGGAACTCGGCATAATATAACGTATCGAGGGCAAAGTTTCCGTTGAACGGCAACCATCCGGCAGGATCAATTATGCTGTCCATGAAATTCTCTAGATAGACCGTGCGCGAGTAGAGCTGCCACGGGCGGCCGAGGTACGACTTCACCGTCCGATGAACGGGTTTGAAGTCCGCCGCGGCTTGAATGGTGGAGGACTGGATCACGATACCTGTGTTCTGGTTCTGGTCGGTGCGGCCTTGGGCTGTGATCACGTTGGCTTCTCCCTTTTGCGGAGTTCGGGCAAAGATAATGCTGTTTTGGATGACGACCGCCGCGTTGCCGAAGATGAAGTCGATTGTGCCGTAGATGTCGCATTCGCGGTAGAATTGGCGCTGTGTGTAGACGCAGAGTGTGTCTTGGTATCCTTCGATGCTGCATCTGTAGAAAACCGACTGGTCGGAACCGGAAAGCAGGGCGACGGCCTGCGAGCCCGCCCCGTAGGTGTTGCGGATTGTGATGTCCGTCCCCACGAACCCGTCGCCAAATACACCTATTTCACAACAGGAAATCAAATATCCTCAATCAAGTCTTACTGATCAGAATTCATCAGAGAGTATTATAGGAAAATAGGTGTTTTTATTGATTATCATCCAAATTTGATTCATAAAATCCCCAGCTTTATTGTTCTTCCGTTAGTCAGCAATAGAATAACAACGCGTGGCCTGAACAGAAGAAGGCAGAAGATGGGACGGTTGGAGGATGCTAAAAGTTTAATTTTTTAAGTTCTTACTGACGGTTGGAGAGCTAAAGGTGGTGTAGCCAAGCGAAACGCTTCGTCTACCGGTGATGATAGTCTTCCCTTTGCCATCTCCAGCAATTGTCAAATCATGAAGACTGCTCAGTATTTGTAGATTCTCAGCATAAACCCCAGCCTTAACACGTATCACTATCCTCCCACTGCTACGGCTCCGCCTCAGAGCCGCCGCCGCATCAAGTGCTTCTTTAATGGTCCTAAAATTACCCGACCCATCCTGCGCCACTACGAAATCCGTCCGACCAGACGCCTGCATCAGCCTCCGCCGGCCAGCCCACACCCAGCTTGGCCCTGCCACAGTGGCATTTAAGCTCGCGTTGTTGATGGCGAGGCAGTTACTGATGAGATCAGAAACATTGTAGCGCAAGACGGGTTGCATAAATGACGAGTTGGCTTTCAGCTCGGTGAAGCCCTTGTTGCATGTGTAGAGGTTGGTGAGCGCAGCGCTCAGCCATGTCTGTGCGTCCATGGCGGTGCAGGTGTCGCCGGCGGGAGACAGGGTGCGGTTAAGCTGTAGTACCGTATTGCCAAACAGTTTCCAGCAATCCAGCCATGCGGTCTTCTCGGCCTCGCCATTGCAGCGCGCGCCTAGTTGCTTCATGCGGCCTTGCGCGTGGATGGAGAGATCGAGCGCTACTTTGACGGATATTTTGTAGAAATCGGAGCGGTTGATGACGTGGGGAGGAGCGCTGGGGTGGGAAAGGTAGTAGCGGCATGGCTCTGGGTGAGGCATTGTACGGCACCACCATTCGATGTCGCCGGAGGACTTGGAGGGGAAGGATTGGGCGGTGCTGAAATGGAGGAGGAGGAAGAAGAAGAAGAAGAGGATTGCTGGTGGTATGATTATCTTGGTGGTATCCATGAATGCGAGCTCGACGAGTGGGTGTTCTGAGTTCGCGTGGCTTATAATGGAAGAGATAGGTTGCTTGGAATTGAATTCAGGTCTGTGGGGTTGAAATATTGGGCAAGACAGCTTATTGTTCGGGTCAACTCGAGTTTCAGAGCAGGGGAAATCCCGAAGTCAAGCTGTGCGGGTTTCGAGTGATTAACCGGATCTGAATCGGATGAGCGAGGTCAATACTGTGGGTGGAAGCTATTTTCTAGATCTGGATCGAATCCAGTTTACATGATTCAACACAGATTTCTCAAAAATAATAATAATAAAGAACATGCAATTCATGCTGCTTGGAGCTCTTGAAAGATAATATGTACGGAAAATGGATCAATATCTAACAACATCAACTCTTAATCCTCACTATATGGGGTCGGCTACATGAATCTTTATTCTTCATGGTGTCCTGTTAAGGACCTATTATTCTATGCTGACACCGGGCGGTTCTTCAATCCGGTTACGTGCTCGGTATCGAGAGTGGTACATTTTTAGGGTGACGTGACTCATTTTTATTGGTCTCTAGACTTCGGTCACCATCCGGACTCCGCACAGATAATAAATCCATGTTAAGAGTCAAATTTTCATTGAAAATTTATAAAGAAATGTCATTTCTAATATTTTCCAACCAAAGTCTTTTTAGATCTATCTTTATATTTCTTAACATAAATCAAATTTAATATATGACCAAGTCATCTAAGGTGGCTCTCTCTAATATTATCTTCCACTTGAGCTCCTCCAACATTTTCATATATATGCTCATTTTGTATTATATATCTAAGAGTAAAGTCACTCATCCATCTGAGCATCTGACCTCTAACATTTAACTTAATATTATGCCTCTCTTTTAATAGCCAACTTTTTGCACCATAAAGCATTGCAAGTTTCACCATCATCCTATAGAAATTTCCTTTAAGTTTGAGGAAGACTTTTCTATCACACATCAAGCCCGATGCATTCCTCCACTTTAACCATCGAACTTCAATTCTACTAATAATTTTCTCATCTATTTCACCATAACTCTGAACAATAAACCAATACATCTAAAATATGTATTTTTATTAATGACTTGATCGCCCAAAGTCACAATCTCCGAACTAGATTTGTTACTACTAAAATTACACTCAATATATTCGGTTTTAAATCTACTCAACCGAAAACTTTTTGACTCTAATGTTGACATCCATAATTCAAGTTTGTCTTCAACTCACTCTCTAGTCTTATCAATAAGAAGAATATCATCAGCAAAAAATATACACCATGATACAACCTCTTGCAATTTTTTTAGTGAGAGCATCCATAAGAACCATAACTAAAACAAAAAATATATGGGCTTAAGGTTGATCCTTGATATAATCCAATAAAAATAGAAAAATATTTGGTCAAACCTCATTGTGTTTGAACACAAGTAACAACTCCTGCATATTTACACATTAAAATAAATTATTAAAATATTAGATTTTTATCTAATGAATATATGCTAACTATTTTGAGCTATAAATAATATTGAAATTCATTTAAAGCCATGACAAAACTATATATATTGTCTTATATTTATGATTATATGATAATTATTTTGATTATTCATATCATTCGCTTGATCGAAATGTATATTAATAGCTACTAACATAATTCTACACATATGTTCTCTTAATTTGAAGAGAGTGTAGCATACTTTTTCTAAATAAATATACAACTTATTACCTTTACTTATTTTCATGTATCTATTTTTTTTTATCTCCATACGTCCATTTATTTATTGTCTGCTCTAACTTAGGATCCATTTGAGATGACTACAATATTTTGTAACAATTGTTATAAATTTTTTGGGGAGATAGTAATTTTTCTGAAAGCTGTTGTATAAATAATCCTTTATATATATTAAATTATGAAAAATAATAATAAAATAAAAATTATGATTATAATAAAAAAAATAAGAAAATTCTCATAAATAAAACCTTAATTTATTTGCTTATTTTAACAGCTCAAAGCATTCAAAATTTGTTCATAGACATCATATTTACTTATGCTTAAAGTCTAATATAAAAAGGTGGGGCAAAGCCCGTATATTAAATTAAAAAGATTAAAAGAAAGATAAAATTCACCTCAAAAATCTTTATATTTACTTTTTAGATAAATATAATTTTGATTAATCAATTAAAAGTTTTATTATATATATATATATATCTAAAATAAATCTATGAAAAAAAAAAATGTTAAGATATCCTAATTATATCAAGACTGATAAGTCGTTAAAAAATTATCTTGATCGGGCACGATTCTCAATGCAAAATCAAGTTGGAAACATCCAAGATTAAAATTGGGACCATCCGAACTCCGATTTCAGCAAACTTACAGTCAAACTGAACATCTCAGAAATAGAAACCCAACGACAACAAAATCAACTCAATCCGAGTCCAAATGGATCCAAAATCAAGGGTCTGAGGCGCTATTGGAGGGGTTCGAACCACAATTTGGATTACCAAACAGCTTCCAAACATGACATGCTTATAATAGAATCGAGCGGCTCGACGAGATGAATCTAACAAGCCCAATATCATTGAATTTTGACATCATTAAGATATTCAAATGTCCATCAAATCGTCTATAATCAAGGGATTCAACATCGGTCGTCCATTTAAGCCACTCCGCATATGCCCTTGATATCCCACCTATTTAATTATGGGCCATGCCTCTCTAGGAATCTAGAAATAGACTCTCCTCCCTCTTAGAAAAGGGGGGCTTCAAGCAAGAGAGCAAGAGAGAGACCGAAGATCGCTCTTGCCTCCTCGTTCTTTCACGACCACAGCCCGGACTTCTACCGGACCACCACCTGAGGTCTGGACTTATGCCGGACCACCATATGAGGTCCGGAATTCTACCAAACCACCACCTAAGACCCAGACTTCTCCCCGACCACCACCTAATGACCGAAGTTCTGTCGGACCCCCACCTAACGCCCGAAGTTCTGTCAGACCACCAACTGATCAGGTCTGGACTTCTGCCGATCCACCACTTGAGTCCCAGACTTCTACCGAACCACCATCTGACGCCTGGACCTCCACCGGACCTCCACTTGAGGACCTTTGCTCCACCAGGCCACCACATGAGGCCGAAACTTCTGTCAGACCACCACCTGACGCTCGAACTTTCACCGGACCACCACTTGAGGCCCTGTGCTCCACCAGGCCACCACCTGAAGCCTAAACTTCTGCCGGACCAGCACCCGATGCCTGAACTTCCGCCATACCACCACTTAAGGACATGTGCTCCACCAGGCCACCACCTGAGTCTCGGACTTCTGTCAGACCATCACGTGAGACCCAGACTTCTGCCAGACCACCACCTGAGGCCTGGACTTCTCCCAGACTTCTACAGGAACCATGAACTAAGGCTCAGAGTTCTGTCGGGCCACCACTTGATGCCCAGAGTTCTACTAGAGTACCGCCCTACTACAATGATCTTTCTGATCTCGATCTCCTGCATACTACAGTCTTTTCGGCCTCTATCCTATCAATTATGGTCCTACCAACCAAATAAATATGTATATGTTGATTATTATAACTCCCACCATGGAATACGATCTATATGATGTACATTTGTGACATCAAGCCAAAACCTTCTCTCTAAGAATGACCTCATTTATAATCAACTGCAAATACTAGTGGATTTATTCAAACTGGGCAATGCCCTGTGGGTTTTCCCCCTTTTTAGGGGTTTCCGCGTAAAAACTTTAGAGTCTCTTATGAACACTACACCCTCTCTCTTATCTGCTTGTGTGCTAGATCTTCGTACAACGCTAAGGCGCTAAAATTTATATTTCTCAACCGCCGCGAATACTCTAGGACGCAACAAAGACGAGCTTTGAAATTAGTAGATTAATTTCAAGATTAATATAATATAAATTCTTCATATATTAAAAAGCATCTAATAATTATTAAGTATGGGTTCTCTTTTCAGAATTGGTATGGTAAAATTTTAAATTGTTTAAATTTGATTAATATAAAATTTAAAACTATAGTTTTAAAAGAAAAAAAATAATATACAATTAATAAACTAAAATTTATATTATGCTCATCTCAAATAATTATACAATTTAATTTGATCATCTTTAAGCAGAGTTTTTTTTTTTTTTGAACTTTTAAGTCAATTAAAACAAATTCATAAAGTTCACATATATATTTCAATCTCAAGACATTTTAATTGATAGTCAATACTTTCAATTACACTATAAAAAAATAGGCCTATCGCACCAGAAAATTAGATCATTAGTGGTGGTTTTACCCGTCACAAATTTTCTTGCAGCGGTTATTAAAATTGATATACGCCCGCTGTGATTGTAATGCGCTGTAACGATATTTCGTGGATATTTAATAATCTCTGAGGAAGACATAAGGAGTGCTAGTTATAGCAACGATTTTAACTTCACAATCTCATAGAATTACTGCTATTAAAATCACTACTGTAACCTAAAAAAAATGATTCACAGAATTGTTGGCCAACATTTCAAGATGAGTAATTATTTGAATAAGGGTACGTATAATCTGGCGTAAATTTTATTAGCCGATCATTTTTTTGATATATGGATACTTATTTTGGACAAAGGTTGGAGATGCACGTCATGGCTTAATTATGGTGTTAGTGTGAAAGATTACATGCTCGAAGTTCAACATGCAACATTGTAGTGGCGCTGGGTGATGACGCTGCACTGCTACGCACTAAAATATAATTTTATACATACTAAGCCATTTTCTCTCCACTCACTCGCCCTCTCACTCCCTAGTGTCGGGCTTGCCATGGAAGGAAGAAGAGAAGGAAGGAGGGGAGGAGAGAGGAAATGGGAAGTTTATGTCTTGGTCGTCGATCCATTTTGCACTTTTTGTGAAAAATTGCTCAGATTATAGTACGTGATATTTATCCTATTATTATTTTCAAAAACTTTGATTTCGAACGTTCTATTACTTCCAAATTGATTTTATTCTGTTTTCTTCGAATTTAGTTAACTTTGACCATATAACTTTTGATACGTCATCATGAAATTATCTTGATCGGGCACGAATCTAGGGGCCAAAATCAAGCCAGAAACTTCAAAAATTAAATCCGGGAGCACTTGAACTCCGATTTCAGCGAGCTTACAGTCGAACTGAGAGTCTCAAAAATACAAACCCAACGACACCAAATTCAACTCAATCCGAGCCCAAATGAGCCCAAATCAAGCACCCGAAATGCTATTGGAAAGTTCGTATCGCAATTTGAGTTACCAAACGGTCTCTGAAATTGACGAGCTTATAATCAAATAATCTTTGAAATTGACGAGCTTATAATCAAATCAAGCGACTCGACTAGACGAATCCAACGAGCCCAAGATCTCCGAATTCCGACATCACTAAGACCTTCAAATGTCTGACGAATGGTGCACGATCAAGGGATTCAATATCGGTCGTCCATTCAAACCACTCCCGATTCGCCCATGATCTCTCACCTATTTACGAGTTATGCCACTCCAGAAAATCTATAAATAGACCCCTCATTTCTCATGAAAGGGGAGGGAAGCAATAAGAAGAAGAGAAGAAGAAGAGAAGGGGAAGGAGATTCTGGTCCTCCTCGACCACCGTCAGAGTTCTTCTCGCCGCCCGAATATGTCGGGATTCTGTCGGATATTCAGGAGAAAGCCATAATTCTGCATAACTTTGTAACTTAATATCAATCCAGAAGAAATTCATTATAAATCTGATCGTCCTAACTTGTGGGACGAATCAGCTTCTTGTAACTCAAGCAACATTAGTGCAACTTTTCAACTGGGCGTGGCCCCATGATTTTTCCCCTTTTTGGGTTTTTCACGTAAAAATCCTGGTGTTCATTTTCCTCTTCTGTTTGTGTGCTGAATATTCGTACAACGCTCGGAATGAAATTTACTAACTCTATCGCCGGGTATATTCTAGCCAGCAACAACTTTTAATATGTTATAACACTAATTATTTTGGACATTTTGATTGATTGATTTCATAATTGCACCGATAAAAAATTAAAATTGTTGTATTTTGTACGATTTATAAAGAATTAAACTTTTGATATTTTAATATAGACATACTAGCAATACAAACATTGTGAGCGAAAATGAGTATGTTACCGAGTAATAACTAGTTGCTACTAGTGTTATAATATTGTGATAATAATACATGCGAGAACAAGTAAATGTTGATTTTACTAACGTTGTTTAGAGAGTGAATATAACAACTCGAAAATGAAAAGTATTTTGAAATATGAAAATTTAAATTTCTTTATGAACTGGAGCGCTTCGCGTTACGCTTGTGAGCGCTGCGGCCTTAATTAATTAAGAACATAGCGCTGCAACAATTATGGTCCTACCAACCAAATAAATATGTATATGTTGATTATTATAACTCCCACCATGGAATACGATCTATATGATGTACATTTGTGACATCAAGCCAAAACCTTCTCTCTAAGAATGACCTCATTTATAATCAACTGCAAATACTAGTGGATTTATTCAAACTGGGCAATGCCCTGTGGGTTTTCCCCCTTTTTAGGGGTTTCCGCGTAAAAACTTTAGAGTCTCTTATGAACACTACACCCTCTCTCTTATCTGCTTGTGTGCTAGATCTTCGTACAACGCTAAGGCGCTAAAATTTATATTTCTCAACCGCCGCGAATACTCTAGGACGCAACAAAGACGAGCTTTGAAATTATTAGATTAATTTCAAGATTAATATAATATAAATTATCTATATATTAAAAAGCATCTAATAATTATTAAGTATGGGTTCTCTTTTCAGAGTTGGTATGGTATATATATTTCAATCTCAAGACATTTTAATTGATAGTCAATACTTTCAATTACACTACCAAAAAATAGGCCTATCACATCACAAAATTAGATCATTCGTGGTGGTTTTACCCATCACAAATTTTCTTGCAGCGGTTATTAAAATCGATGCACGTCCGCTGTGATTGCAATGTGCTGTAACTACATTTCATGGATATTTAATAATCTATGAGGAAGACATAATGAGTGCTAGTTATAGCAACTGTTTTAATTTCACAATCTCATAGAATTACTGATGTTAAAACCTCTATTGTAAGCTAAAAAAAATGATTCACAGAATTGTTGGCCAACATTTCAAGATGAGTAATTATTTGAATGAGGGTATAATCTGGCCGATCAATTTTTTTTGATATATGGATACTTATTTTGGACTGAGGTTGGAGATGCACGCCATGGCTTATGGTGTTAGTGTGAAAGATTACATGCTCGAAGTTCAACATGCAACATTGTAGTGGCGCTGGGTGATGACGCTGCAGTGCTACGCACTAAAATATATTTTTATAGATACTAAAGTCATTTTCTCTCCACTCAATCGCCACCTCTCTCCCTAGTGCCGGGCTTGCAATGGAAGGAAGAAGAGGAGGGAGGGAAGGAGAGAGGAAATGGTTAGTTTATGTCTTGGTCGTCGATCCATTTTACACCTTTTGTGAAAAATTGCTCAGATTATAGTACGTGATATTTATCCTATTATTGTTTTCAAAAACTTTGATTTCGACCGTTCTATTACTTCCAAATTGGTTTTATTCTATTTTCTTCGAATTTAGTTAACTTCGACCACATAACTTTTAATGTGTTATAACACTAATTATTTTGGACATTTTGATCGATTGATTTCATAATTGCACCGAGAAAAAAAATTAAAATTGTTGTATTTTGTACGATTTATAAAGAATTAAACTTTTGATATTTTAATATAGACGTACTAGTAATACAAACATTGTGAGCGAAAATGAGTATGTTACCGGGTAATAACTAGTTGCTACTAGTGTTATAATATTGCGATAATAATACATGCGAGAACAAGTAACTGTTGATTTTACTGACGTTGTTTAGAGAGTGACTATAACAACTCGAAAATGAAAAATATTTTGAAATATGAAAATTTAAATTTCTTTATGAACTGGAGCGCTTCGCGTTACGCTTGTGAGCGCTGCGGCCTTAATTAATTAAGAACATAGCGCTGCAAAAAACTACAGCACTTTTACTGAGTATTTGCTACGCTTTTGCAAATACTCAGTAAATACTTAGCAAATATTACGTTATGTGTATTTTATTTAGTATTTGTAAGAATATTTATTAAGTATTAACTGAATATGTATTATATATTTATTGATTTGCTGCAATCTTACTTAGTATTTAAATAAATACTTAACAAATTATTAACAAATATTTATAATTAAACATTTGTTTAATTTATAATGAGTATTTAAACTAAAAGCGCACCGTCCGGGCTCTAATTTCTCACGAATCGGATACCCGATACTTCGCCGACAACCAACAATGGCTTCGCCACCCTCGCTTTCTCTCCACGCCGAATGAATGACGAAGCAGTTGTGCGCGCAGCAGTGCAAAACGACGACAATCGACTTCTAACTCCGTCATTCAACCTCTAACCAGGCAAGAAACGCCTTTTCCCTTCTCACTTTCACCAATCACAGCGAAATCAGAGAGTGACAAGAAGACACCTTCATGGACACGTGCTACTCCCCCACATAGCTCTATTGCATGGCGAGATAACGTGCCGCGATGATCTTTCTTTTTAAATTCATGTCCTGCATGCTCATTCCATCTCTCATCCTTTCCAATGGCGAGGTTTTCGGCTTCTCGTTTAGTTATCTTTCCTGCTTTGCTCTGCATGCTGGTTCTCTCCCGAGCCGACGTGATTCGGATGCCGTCGAAGGGATCTTCCTTCGACGGTGAGGAGGAAGCGGGGACGAGTTGGGCGATTCTTGTGGCTGGTTCTTCGGGCTACGGTAATTATCGTCATCAGGTGAGGTGGTTGGAGCTATTTGATTCGTGACCGGGAAGTTAATGATTAGTTACTGAGTTAGGGATTTTGGTTATTTTCAGGCGGATGTGTGTCACGCGTATCAGATATTGAGGAAAGGGGGTTTGAAGGAGGAGAATATTGTGGTGTTTATGTTCGATGATTTGGCGAACAATCGGCTTAATCCGAGGCCTGGTATCATCATCAACCACCCCCACGGCGAGGACGTTTATGCAGGCGTCCCGAAGGTATTTATTTATATATCACACAATCAATTTTGTTATGTATAAGCTGTAAGTTTGTGAAGTTAATTTTTTTAGTAAAATTCATGTCTTCTGCTAAATACTTTGAAGGTGTGGATTTTAGGAATGTATTATTGGTAAATAGTATGCGGGACTGAAGAAAAGAAAAAAAAAAAGAAAGCTGCAGCTGCGGTTAGGTAGAAGCAGGTATAAGAGGAAGAGTATTACTGTAAGAAGAGAACTGTATTCACTAATTTTTATTTCGTGTACTAAATGATATAACGTGGTACACAGGACGGGAACTGAAGTAAAGAGAAAAACTGCAGCTGCGGTTAGGTAGAAGCAGGTACAAGAGGAAGAGTATTACTGTAAGAGAACTGTATTTCACTAATTTTTATTTCATGTAAAAACTACTGGATGAGGTCTAGAAAAGTGGCCGGTGCACTGCTGATAGAATGGGTTTGTGGAGGAAAAGAAGAAGAAGAAATAGCTGCTTGCATATCGGATAGTTGTGTATCAGTAAAGTGTTTATCACCACCTCATAAGTTGATGATCCAAGGATTGGATTGTCAATTTATCGTATAGATTCCGAGACTGAGAAGGAGAAAGAAGTTTGGTGAGGATGTTGGCTGGCTTATCTTTGGATTTGATGTGAACCACATTAATTTCATTTGAGCAGATGCATGAAGTTGTAGTCTATCTCAGTGCACTTATTGCAGGCATAAAAGGTGGGGTTGTTTCCCAAAGCTATAGACGATGTATTATCATGATGAAGTGAAGTGACGATAGAGGTTGGAACATTGAAATCTTGTAATCAGTGATGAAGCCATACAAAGTTGAAGGCGGTTGAGGCTTGAGCCTGATATTCTGCTTTGGTTGAGGATTTTGTGACAATAGATTGATTATTAGCACTCCAAGAGACAAAAATTGTGACAAAAAATGGGCAGTAGCATGTATTTGATTTTCTTTTGCTGGGATTGATAGCCCAATCGGAGTCCAAGTAGGATTGCAGAGTTAGATCATCTTCAGTGGTTGGCAGACCAAGATGAGCAGGACCTTTGATTAGAGGAGAAGGCATTTAAGCTGTTGGTTATGTTTGATTAGCAAGTTATGCATGAATTGACAGAGCTAATTTGTGGTGAAGACATTGTTTGAATGGGTTGTGCTCAAGTATTGTAGGGAGACTGCAATTTGCCGAAAGAGAGGGTTTTCATAGGGGTGGATGGTGGTAGGGCAGAGAGAGAGATAGATTGCAATTGGCTAGACCGGATTTCTATAGCAATTCTAAGCATATTGGGATTGGTTGAGAAAGCAACCGGATGCTGTAGGGGTGTCTTGAATGCCAAGAAAGAAAGACACAGGACCAAGGTCTTTGAGAGAAAAATGGGTTTGCATGTCATTGAAAGATTGTAGAAATTTTGTCATTGAATATTGTAGAAATTTTGGATGGGTAGTTTCTGGTAATGAGTATATTGTTGACATAGATGAGAAGAAAAAAATATATACAATTTTTAGAATAAAGTAGCAATGAGGGGTCAAAATTCTGAACTTACAGTTGAGACTGAGAAGGTAAATGGAAAATGCAAAAGTCATTGTTTTGGTGCTTATTTTAATCCCTAAATGGCTTTGTGGAGTTTGCAATATCTGTTAGATGTTGTGAGTCTATGAAATTGGGTGGTTGCATCATATAAACATCCTCATGATGCCATGTAGGAAGGCGTTTGATTCTTCGAGTTGAAGAATGGGCAACTGATCATGTAAAGCAATAGTTAGGACTTTGGAGTATTTGAATTGTCGGCATTTTGTAACTAGGCTAAATATTTCGTAGTAATTGATGTTGCATTATTGCTTGAATTCTTGAGTTACCAAATGGGCTTTGTAACAATTGATGGTGCCATCAGATTTGAGCTTATTTTATAAGTCCAATGATAGACTAAGACCTGCTGATGTTGGTGTGGGGGAACAAGAGATTATGCATGTTGTCATCCCATAGCAAGAAATTCTGTTGAGATGGTAATGCACCATTCAGGAAATTTAGACGTTTAATTGAACATGTGAGAGTGGAGATGAGCTGAAGATCGGCATTAAGAGTGAACATTTTTTTGAGTTTGAGATGGCCTATTTTAAGATGAGTTTGCATAGGGTGAAGCCGTGAAGGTTGTGTGTGAGTGGAGGAACAGAGGACGTAAGACTTGAGAAGCTTTGGCATCATTTGGGTGAAGCTGATGGGAGGTGGATGAATGGCTAGGTGAAGTGCGGGGTGAAAAAGCAGAAGGAATTGGGAGGTCATTGAAGTCTTGTTGGATGGAGCGAGTTTTAGAATTAGGCTGACATAGGAGTATGTGATCAGCGTGAGAGAAGAGGAAGTGGAAGGCAGAGTGGAGTTGAGTTTGGTTTGTACAAGTGTTTTGGAGGTGAAGGTATGTTCATGAAAAGCAATGTGATGGGAGATGATTATTTTCCTTGTGAGAACATTAGCAACGATATCCTTCTTGAGTGGAAGAGTAACTGAGTAATAAATATTCCATGGGGGCGGGCTGAGTTTGTTTAATGTGAGAGGTTGAAGCCAAGGAAAACATATACAACCAAAAGCTCTGAGGTGAGCATAGGTGGGAGGTTTGGTGCATGTGCTCGTAGGGCGATTTTTGTTTGCCGGACTTGGGAGTTTAATTTATTGACGAGACAATTTGTAGTGAGAAGGGATTTGGTCGAGAATTGAAGTGCAAGAAGCATTGAATGTAGGAGGGTAGGTTGTCTCTAGGAGATGATGATATTTGCATTTGACAATGCCATTTTATTTTGGGGCATAGGGATAGGTCTGGGTGTGAGTAATGCTATGATTAGATAGAAATTTTTATAAGGTGTGAGAGGTGTATTCACTATCATTGTCGAACCTTAGTGTTTTAATGTGAACATTAAAGTGATTTTTGGCCATTAAGGTAAATTCAATGATTTTTTGTGTTGTTTCAGCTTTAGCGTGTATAGGAAACGACCAACTAAATATGGAGAAATCGTCAATTAAAAGCACATAGTGATGGCATTGTTGGGGATGAGGAAGTAAAACACCGCGATAAAGCAACCAAGAAAGTAAAAAGCAACAGAAATAAAAGGACACTAGAATTTAACGTGGAAAAATCTGAACTCAGGAAAAAACCACGGAGCCATACGACACCTAGAAATCCACTATAAAAATGAGGAGAAATAAGTACATCTCTCTCTCTCTCTCCTTGCTTATCTTCTATCTTACACTGTTCTCACACTCTAAACATAAGAGAAAGTCAATTAAATAACACCAAGGGATGCCACCCATTAGAAGAAAGAGGAAGAAAACTATCCAGTTCGTCTCGAAGCGCTGCGTCGCTAATTTGGAGCGCTGTGGCACTCAAACCCATAGCGCTGCGACACTTAAACCCATAGCGCTATGACACAGCACAACGTTGCGGCGCTATGCTCTTTATTGTTTCTCCCATAAAATATTGTAGGATCGAGGCGCTAGGGAACACAACGCCAACGTGCTAGGGTACACATCATTGGGGCTTTGCACCTTAACCCTAGCGGGGGAGGACTCCCGCAACCCCAAGCGAGCACGGAAAATTAAACTGAGGTCCGAGGTAACAGTACAATCTGATTGATCGGCACAATTATATTCCACAGACTAACAAACATATGCTTCAAGACAGTTAAAAATACATGAAAAAAATTATCCCATCCACAATTTAGAATTAACAGCTGCGATTTTTGAACTTAAGATATAGAGACATCACTTATATGGAGACAGGTGTGAGGTTTTTACATATCATAAATGCCTTCAATATATATTTAATTAGAAGAAGCTTAATCTAAGACATAGATGGTGGTTGGAGCTTATCAATGATAATGTTTTAGATATACAATATCATCGTAGAAGGAAAAATGTGGTTAGATGAATTAAGTAGAAAGACTTATTGAAGTGCAAATTGGTTACTAGTCTAAGAGGAACAAATAATTAAAGATATGAAAAGACTGGAGATTTCAGTGATAAATCTTAAAGATATAAAATTCATATTAAATTAGTTGGTGATACAATCAATATTGAAGGATCAGATATATAATTCTTTATCTGAAGATAGTGGCTTCCAAGAAATCATAAGTAAGATAAAGCAAGATATTTGAAAAATTTTATGTTAGATGAAGAGAAATTCTTAAAATATAAAGGCATAATTTGCGTTCTAAATCTTGACAATTTAAGACAAGAAATATTGCAAGAAGCAAATATTACTAGTTATACAATTCATCTAGGCAGTAATACAATGTATCATGAGCTTAGAAGAATATTTTGGTGGCCAGATTAAAAAAAGTGTTGCAGAATTTATGGCAAAATATATTTCATGTCAAATGATTAAAGCAGAACATCAAAAATCAGGTGGACAATTGTAACTTTTACCAATACTTGATTGGAAATTAGATGAAATTGCAATGGATTTTTTAATTCAATTACCTGAATTAAGATAAAGCCGTGATGCTATATAGGTTATTGTGGATTAATTAACAAAATTTGCTCATTTCATGCCAATTAAATAGATTGATTCAGTGAAAAAATAGCAAAGGTATTTGTTAATGAAATTGTGTTATTATATGGGGTGCCAAAATCTATAGTTTATGATAGATTTGTTAGATTTATCTCTAAATTATGGAAGAAAATTAAAAAAGCCTTTGGTGCTAGACATTCAACACTGCATTCTATCTTCAAATAGATGGGTAATCAGAAAGGTCAATTTAAACTTTGGAGGATTTACTTTGGTTGTGAGTACTAGATTTTGGTAAAAATTGAGAGTTACATTTTACATTATTAGAATTTTCTTATAATAACAATTTTCAATTCAACATCGGAGTGACACCATATGAAGCTTTCTATAGAAGAAAATACAATACACCTTTATGCTGGGCAGAGGCAAGGAAAAAAGTCAATATTGAGTTAGTAAGTGATGCTAATAATAAAATTAGATTAATTATAGACAGATTGAAGG